CCCCCTTCCCTCCTCCCTCCCCTCTCTCTCCCCCCAACGCTTTTCCCCCTCCCGCGACCTCCGTATCAATCCGACGTATTATCTCGGTCATATACGGGTCGGTCGGTTAGCCGCTGTAAAGCTTTCAGGGAATGAAAAACTTCAATAAATTCAACACCAACATTACACACAAAACCAAAACCAAAACCAAAACCAAAACCAGACCAAAGACCAGGACAGAAAGACCCAGCACCTCGAGTGTTCCCCAAAGCTATGTAACAATCTTCCGAGGCACATTTTCCTGGTAACGTTTCCAGGTGGGGGTTTTGTTTTGTTTTTGTTGTTTGGTTGGGTTTTTTTTTTAGCTGTTGCAAGCACGGCTGCACATGTTTGTCAGCTCTTTGTAGCAGGTCTGCGGTTTGAAGCACCTTGCTTGTGGGGGATGTGTTCCGCTCTTCTTCTTTTTCTTCTTCTTCTTCTTCTTCTTTTTCTTCTTCTCCCGGGTCAACACGCTCCATGAAGTAGACCACACAGACTACACCATGAGTCTACGTGTGACCCGGCAAACTTCCTGGTCTTAGCCCGGCTTACAATAATCCGACAGGTTCCCGCCAAAAACAAATCTGCCTCTGTTGGAACCGCCCAACGTCTCAGGGAAAAAACAAAACCAAACAAACAAAGCAAAAGAAAAGCGAGCAGAGAGCAGGAGCCAGGGAGACGCTTACGTTGTGGGCGGGGGGGCTTTTCTTTTCTTAAGCCGGAGATTTGATAGAAGTGAAGTCAGCCTCCCCGTACTGGCCCGTACCCAGGCAGCCTCAGGGTCACGTGCCTCGACACGGCGGAATCAAGCGCTCGTCCATTTCTGGGCTCGCTTATGTGGAGTTATTGTTTATGTAATTTAAAAGCTTGTTCATTAATTTATCTTGCTTTTAAAAGAAAAAGTAACCAATCGATCTTGAATAGAAGTCGAGATGTTTGCCATTGAAAGAGGTGAGGGTCGCCTCCTTCCAGGGGAACCAATGAGTCAATGAGTGACAAAATGGTTGCCAAAGTTTGGTGACTTTCACGTTTTGAGAACCCTTAGAAAGCGCAAATTTACATGTGTTGTGCCTCTGGTAAAGGTTTTCCAGACAAATTCGAACAGAAATGTGTTTTAAATGATCATGAAAGATGTTGAGCTAAACCACAAAAAACCCACAACAAAAAACAACAACAATCGATCAACTTGACCAAAGAGCGGGAAAATATCGGTGTGTTTGATTTCATTATTTGGACGAGAGCTTGATTGTACCACGACGACGCATATTTCCCAAGGTGCTATAACTTCCTTGTCAAGGAAAAGGCATGGGGACACGTCTGAGCCGCCAACTCTTTCAGCTGACACATGTGCCCGGGTCTCTGCCCGACACGGCTTTTGAATCAGGACATTGACGATAATAAGAAATATAGCATTTATTTGTATAGAGCATATCCCCGCTCAACAGCAAGCTCCAGGCGCTGCACAATCTTATGTGTGTTATTACCGCTGCAGACCCTAGAATATCGAGAAACAGTTTCAGCTTTCAGGGCAGTGTACTGTACAAGCTGCCGATTGAAAGCTTAAACATTGACAAAACGACAAAATCTTTCTCTGTCAATAGGCGGGTACCTATTCCCCCGTGTTGTAAGTGAGGACAGTCCAGTTGTTGTCAGATATCATAATGAAAGTCGTCTGTGTTTACCTTTGGGGCAGATAATGGCAGGATCACCGTGAGGGAGAGTAGGTACAGGACCTTCATGGCTTCTCTCGTCCATCCAGACCTGGGAAATACCACAACAAAAACAAACCGTTACATTTTTAAAAACAAACAAACAAAAAAACACTTTTTTTGTGGCGCGATCAAGATATTTTAGGAACCATGGATTAATCAAATGGAAGACTGTCGTGTAGGAAACAAGAGAGGGACTCATTGCATGAATCTTCACCGACGTCTGTGGTATAGCAGTTAGGCACGTCAGTGTTGCAGTCAGGAGGCCTGAGTTCGGTTCTCGAGTGGGGAGGGATTTGTTATTGAGTATCTCAGGTGGGGAGAGATCTCAGGCTTTGTGCCCGGATTTTGTAGAGTTCTCATCCCGGGCTGGCATCTACCAAACTGTCTCATCTGTGTCCAGGGAGGTGGAACAACTCCTCTATTTAAACAGACACATGTACACCCTCTCTCTACGTCACACACACACACACACACACACACACACACACACACATACATACATACACACATACATACATACATACATACACACA